ATCCTAAATGAAATGTCTTCATCTTTCTGGGCCATAGAGTGGCTATGTTTTTCAGACTCCCTGACAGATGGTGTGGCAAAGTGAATAATGTTGATCAATGTTATGTGAGTGCGAATTAATTCACCAGAGCACCATTTACAGGCTGGCCCCTAAAATGTCCCACACACATGCTCCCCCATATAACCTTCTCCCTGCTATCTGGAATGGCCATGATTCCAAGGCAATCTTGGAAGCTACATGTTTAAGGTAACATACTTGGAATCAGCCTTCTTCACTGGATAACAGCATGAAGCAGGCTCCTCAGACATATCAGGACTGTTTAAAAAGCAATAGGAAATTTAGATTATGTATGAGTCACTTTACATTTTGGAGCCTATTGGTGACTGCTGTTCATTCACCCAGTCTAAGGCAGTAAGTGGAACTAAGCACATACAAATTAGTTAAGAGGCATTTAAATGGTAAATAAAAAGATCAGGAAATCTATGCCATCTGCAGATTTTGTGATAGGTTTTGATTTCATTGGTTTTCTAGCTCTAATGTGGTTTATTCATGTTTTTATTTAATATTTTGAATATCATTTTCTCCAACTATCCCTTGGGTTGAGTTTTATGTCCTGGGGACTTTGCAGGAAACAGGAAAGATATCATCCCACATTATAGTACTTATTTTCTTCTCGGCAGACAAGTGGTAAAAAAAACCAATTTAATAAATAACATGTATGAAATATTACATTAAGTTATACATATTATGGTGAAGATTTCATAATACTATGATTTTAGTTGATAAACAAGGTTATACATTTATTTATTACAATAAATTTGCTACCAAAGCTATGTCAACACTTTCAGTTTCATCGTTTTGCACAAGATTATAATAAAAACAGATCTTGAAGACATTTTTAATAATGGTTACATACACATCATAGATATCAATTTTTATGTGTGCATAAAGGTCATTGACTTATTTACTACAATTATATACTATACTTATTGTGAAAAAATATTTAAGATCAGAAAAATTTTACTCCTTTTCTGTAAAATTTAAAGGGAATATTTACATAGCAAGATGGAGAATGTAATTGACAGTTCAAGAACACAGCTGCTGCCAAGGAGGAGGGAGCCACGGCCATGCTCCTCCAATCCCCACCTCCCTCCCCAGACACACATACAGACACACAGCTCATTTTATCTTCTCTCCTCACCATGCTGCCCACAGGGGTTGAGGAGGGTCCACCACTTTTGCCAGAGGCAGGAGATCCGAGCTGCTCATTCGCTTGGCCCCCTGAGGTGGAGTCAAGACCAACCTGGGTCGCTTGAGGGTTCCATTCCAGGAGCAGGATGAGGAGTTAGAAGAGGATGAGGAGCTGGAGAAAAAGAGGAGGAGAAGGAGGAGGGGAGCCACTTCTCACTGAGGCTAGAGAGATGTGGGACAGAATCAGAGGATGAAGAAGAGCACTTGATTAATCTCTCTGAACTGACCCCTTACAACTCGTGTTTCATTTGCAAAGATTACTTAACAGATGCAACTACAATTACAAAATGCCTTAGTACAATACATAGTGTACAAATTAGTAATCAATCTAGAAGAAAGAGGAAAAAAGCAAATGCATGAGTTTATAAAGAAAGAAGTATAGAAGTGCCTCAACCTGCTTTTCCACAACCAGTCCCTTCAAGCAAAGAAGATCTAAGAAAGCCTTAGAATCAGTGTTTCAGATTCCACCTGAACTTGATGTGTCTTCATTACTAGAACTAGAGGCCTGGTGCACAAAAATTTGTGCATTCATGGGGGGGGGGTCCCTTATCCCGGCCTGTGCCTTCTTGCAGTCTGTGACCCCTCAGGGGATGACCACCTGCTGGCTTAGGCCCACTCCCTGGGGGATTGGACCTAAGCTGGCAGTCAGACATCCCTCTGGCAGCCCAGGAGCCCTTGGGGTATGTCCACTTGCCAGTGGAGAGCTGGCCTAAGCTGCAGTCAGACATCCTTAGCACTGCTGAGGAGGCAGGAGAGGTTCCCACCACCACCGCTGTACTGGCAGCCGTCAGCCTGGTTTGTGGCTGAGCAGAGCTCCCCCTGTAAGATCGCACTGACCACCAGGGGGCAGCTCCTGCATTGAGCATCTGCCCCCTGGTGGTCATTGTGTGTCATAATGTCCAGTAATTCCTCGTCATTCTGATGTTAGGGTCAATTTGCATATTACCCTTTTATTATATAGGAGTGCCTGGCCAGCCTGGGTGAGGGGCTAATGGCTGTTTGCAGGCTGGCCACAGCCCCTTCAGTGTGAGGGTCCCCTGGGGGTGCCTGGCCAGCCTGGGTGAGGGGTTGAGGGTCATTTGCAGCTGGCCACAGCCCTTTCAGGGTGGAGGTCCCCTCTGGGGTGCCTTGCTATTTTTTTTACTGCATTATAAAATTAAAGCACTGTGAATGAAACAGATAATACTTTGCTATTATAGAATTTTCATATGGATTGCATATAACTGCTATCTAAAAATACAGAGTATAAACTTTCTTTCATGTTTTAAAAGCATCATTAGCAAGCAAAATTCTCTTGTCTGCATATTACATGCCCAGCTACTGTCATTAATCTGAGTCATTTTATTTCAGAACTCAAAGTAGCACCATACATGTACAAACATACCCAAACACTAAGAAATTTATAGGTCTCATTTTTTTCATTTTCATTTTTGTGTTGTATTCTATTCGTGTTGTATTCTACTGCCATGATTTATTTGTCCATTTTATAACTAATGGGAATTTATATGATACCTCAATTTGAGCACTTTCATGATTCCTCAGTTTGAGTGTTTACATGACTTCTCAATTTCAGCTATTAAGAACAATTGTAACATGCACATTTTTGCATATATATTCTGTTACACATATACGAAAAATTCTCCAACATGACAAGGATGAGTACATTTAATTGGTCTTAGAGTATGCATCTTCACCTTAAGTGCATAATGCCATACTCTTGAACAGAGTTGTTTTACCAGTGCATAATTCAAGAAATATAATATGAAAATTATTATTATTTCAGATCCTTTCCAACATTAGAAGCATCACACTAATATTAACACTTATATCCTATCTAATAAAAGAGAAACATGGTAATTAGCGTACATCCGCTACCCTTCCCATTGGCTAATCAGGGCAATACAGAAATTAACTGCCAGCCAAGATGGCGGCCAGCAGCCAGGCAGCTTGAAGCTAACACGAGGCTTACTTGCTTCAGTGACGGAGGAAACCAACGTTCCCCACCTGCCTTGCGGGCCTCTGAGCTTGCAGTTTGAAACATTGTTACAAATATAGAAGCTAAACAAAACCCCAGAAACTAGCTTTCAGCTGGCCGCCTGGATCTCAGAGCTGGAGCTGATACAGTGTTTCGATTATAGAACCCAAACAAACCAGATACCTTCTTTCAGCAGCAGAGGCCTCAGAGCTGGAGCCAGAGCTAAAACTGGCCCAGAATAAAAAAAAAAAGAATAAAAGGAGCAGTTGGGAGCTTCAGTCGGCCGCCGGCCTGAAAACAGTCCTCAGCCCCTCACCCAGACTGGCCAGGCACGCCAGTGGGGACCCCCACCCTGAAGGGTGTGTGACCAGCTGCAAACAGCCATCATCCCTTCACCCAGGCTGGCCAGGCACCCAAGCGGGGACCCCCACCCTGATCCAGGACACCCTACAGGGCAAACCAGCTGGCCTCACCCGTGCACCAGGCCTCTACCCTATATAATAAAAGGGTAATATGCCTTCCAGCACCGGGATCAGCAGAGCTGAGAGGCCTCCCGGCACCGGGATCAGTGTTACAGGGGGCAGCGCCCAAACCCCCTGATCGCCCTGCGGCTCTGTGTGTGACAGGGGGTGGGGCCACAACTTCCCTATCCGCCCTGCTCTGTTCATGACAGGGGAAGGCGCCCCAACCCCCTGATCAGCCCTGCTCTGTGCCTGATAGGGGGGAGCTCCCCAACCCCCTGATCGCCCTGCAGCTCTGTGTGTGACAAGGTGCGGTGCCTCAACCCCCCCTCCCCCCTCACGGGCCCTGTTCTGTGTGTTACGGGGTAGAGCCATAACCTCCCCATCGGCCCTACCCTGAGTGTGACAGTGGCGGCGCCCCAACCCCCTGATCGGCCCTACTCTGTGAGTGACAGGGGGGGAGCTCCTCAACCCCCTGATCGGCCCTGCTCTGTGCGTGACAGGATGGAGCTCCCAACCCCCTGATTGAGCCTGCTCTGTGCGTGACAGGGTACGGAGCCCCAACCCCTTGATGGGCCTTGCTCTGTGCGTGACAGGGGCAGCGCCCCCACCCCCTGATTGGCCCTGCTCTGTGCGTGACAGGGTACGGAGCCCCAACCCCCCTGATCGGCCTTGCTCTGTGGGTGACAGGGGGTGGCGCCGCATCCTCCCCATCGACCCTGCCTGAGTGTGACAGGGGGCGGCGCCCCAACTCCCCAATCGGCCCTGCTCTGAGCCCAACCAGGGGCTGCATCTAGGGATTGGGCGTGCCTTCTGCCACCCGGGAGCAGGCCTAAGCCAGCAGGCCGTTATCTCCCAAGGGGTCCCAGTCTGTGAGAGGGCACAGGCCGGGCTGAGGGACCCCTCCTCCTTCCCCCAAGTACACAAATTTTTGTGCACCAGGCCTCTAGTATTTATATAACATATTATTACATTTAACCTTTACACTTCTTTTAAGATCCTAATTTCAAAATTTTTTTTTTTTTTAGTTTAAAATATCTACATTCTTTATTTAAAGGTGTGTTTTTTCAAAAACAAACAAACAAACATGTTGAGCCCAGGCTGCTGGCTCAGTTGGTTGAGCATTGTCCTGTACACCAAAAGGTCAGTGCTATTCCTGGCCAGGGCCCATACCCACGTTGAGATGCTTATGGGAGGCAACCGATCGATGTTTCTCTCCCTCTCCCTTCCTCTCTAAAATCAATAAACATATTTTTTTTCAATTACCTACAAGGACCTTTCATATGTTTTTTATTCTCAGAATCACCCTGGGAGATAGGCAGGTTTTAGTTATTCATTCTAATGAGGTATTTTCTCCATAAATACAGAATACTGCCAAGAAAAGTTTGCTTTTAGACCCTAGTTTTTAAAAAGCTGTTTTTCTGGTAACTTTAGTTTCAGAAATTGCATTAAACATTTCTTATTTCCATAAGTCCATCCTTTACAAAGAAGATAAGAAATTTCTGAAGTCTACCTTTGAATTCTTTTTGGATTCACTCTGGCTAAGTAACGTTTTTAGTTGAGAGAAGTGTTTCTTTGTTTTGTTCACATTTTTTGAGGAGCAAGTGGGTGTTGAGTGTCCAGATGTAGGTGTTCTGAAAGTCAATGCTGGGCTCTTGCCTTTGGAACCGGACACCCTGTGATTTAGGTTTGGAGAACCTACAGACTTTCTCTCTGGGGTCTTCAGGCTGAGTTTCCTCGCAGGAGTGGCAGGATTGCTCCTCAGTGCTGACAGAAAGCTTCTGCTCTTTCCACGATGTTTCACTGTTTTGTTGCATGTTTTACACGTAATCAACAGTACACTTTTGGAGTCTTTGTACTTTTTCACAATTTTTGCCTCTTTAAAACTGAGTGTACAATTTCTTGCTTCTCGATTAAGAAGTTTCTGAATTCTTGGTGTCAGTTTGGGCTTGGGTTTGAGGCGTACTCGAGAATTATCCAGAATCAGCAACTGGAAACAGTATGGGCATGTTTCTTCAAAAGTGCTTTTAGCATAGGAGATAGCGGGCCTGGCCGGGCAGCGAGCCTGCAGTTTCCGCGCCGCAGCCTCGAGGTGGTGCTTCTGCCTCATCGCCACCACAGTCCCACCGCAACACCTCAAATTTATCTCTAGTTAGAAAAACTTGTGTTTCTTTTTCCCTTTCAGTGACTGTAATTCTATGTACATTTATTCATATTGTGTAATATATCATTTATACAATTATCAGTATTTCATTGTAGAGTTTTATAACCATACTTCTTCAGGTCTCAAATACTCTACTGTTACCAAAAACTGTTAAAACACTGGAGACATGTCGTTTAGTCAAATATTATGTCATATCACTTTAAGAAAATATAGTTACTTTAATGCATCTTGTAGGGAAATTTTGGTGCTGTTTAACAAAGCTGATATAAAGAAATGCTGAAGGTTTCTATTAAGTCATTTTCTCATAGAATGCATGAGGTTATTTCAAATTCTGTCTATAAAGGCAAAGGTTTTGCTTTCCTCAGAGAATTTAAGTGCCACAGTAGTCTCAAGGCGATCTGTCTTAGCTTGCTGTTTCCAAAAATTATAAGAAAAGAGTGGCCTGAAGGAAAGGTAGGTGAAATCACTGACAAGCATCATGACTTGGTATGTCTGTACCTTAGTGAAGATGCAAACTGTAGTTAGAATAGAAATAATGTAAATGATGAAGAGGAGGAGGAAGGCTGTCACCATTTTCATGGCCCTTCTATGGGCCTCTGTGCTTGAGTCCCTCAAACCTGTCAGGTTGAGCTGAAAATTCTTGGTGTGTCTCACCAAGGACAGAAATAAAAGAAGCAAAGAGATCAGGGACAGGAAAAAGGGGATAATATAGATCAAACTAAGAAGAAGAAGACTTTTGAGATAGAACATTTCATTTGCCTCTAACTGCAAAGTCATATTTACTTCATGTACCCTGTAAGTATTCAGATCATTAACAGCATCATGCGTTAAGAGGTCAAGAGACAGTAGGAAGAAAGATCCCAGGAAAAGCAGAAGAACCACCGTGTTGACTCTCCACTTCAGCCACATGAAAAAGGAGTGGGAGAAATTGGCGATCTTAAGGAAGTAGAAAATGCTGAGGCAGGTGGCAAACCAGATAGTTAGATGGTTAGTTAGTGCCCAAAGAATACTAACCACCTTTGCTAGTTTACCAGTAGCATAGAGATGTGGAGCTAGCCCCATTATAAATGAACCCAAGAGTATTACCAACAGTTGAATGATTCTGGCCATAGCCAAGCTGGTGAGGATGAAATCAGCTGAGGAAACTTTCCCAGTCCTGAACCATTCGATGCAGTTCACCAGTCTGATAAACCCATTTCCTAGCACTCCTAAGATGAATATTCCTGTTGCCACAACCAGAAAGGAGGCCTTAATTTCAATTGACATCGTTATAAGAATGTTTCTAATGTTGTGCCTCAGTGAAAGCTTTATAGTGAAACAGTTGCAGATGGACATCCATTTATGATGCTTTCCATAAATATTTTCACCATAATTCCTAAGAATACATCCAAAATTCTTCTTTGACATACAGTTCCAGAGACCGTCACAAAAGAATAGTTCATTCCACTTGAATTGTAATTCCAGTGCTGAACTGAACAGTTCTCTTAAGACACACACATTTCATGAATACCTGTAATATTCCTTTTAGTCAGCTACTATATAAATATAAATGTTGTCCACTTATCTTGACCCCAGCTGCAAATTTTCATTTGTGCCACTGACTAAATGGATAAAGTAAAATACATAAACATGCAAATCTGAGAGAGATTATTTCCAACCAATTGAATTTCTGTCTCCTTGGAACATACATCTAAATGCAAATATTTTAAATTTTGAATAGTAATTGCTAGGGGAAAATCTTTTATATAATTCAGTTATTGTTTGCTACTTAACAACAAGATCCTTATATATATCAAGTATTTTTGTTGATGCAATTTAATTTACATAAATAATTTATTGCAATTATTTCTAGTTTAAAGACCACACCCAAGTCCTAGAATATAAAAGTACAAATAATCATGGAGAAATATTATAAAAGCTAAATCAAAAGTCATAAGCAAAGTATACCAGGAATTACATAAAGCAGCTACAAATGCTACAATGCAAAATTGACTATGGCTTTATGAAGACTGGAATATTTAGAGGGAACTTGAATTATTTAGAAGTTATGAAGAAATACAGAAATAAATTCAAGACTGATGTAAAGACATGTGAAATTTTCAGTGACATGAACAAATATGACACCCTTCTAAGCAGAGGAACTTTTTTTGTTTTACAATATCTTATTTGCTTTTAAACTGAAATGTTTCTAAGTGCTCTCCAATATCCGTGTTCTAAACGAAATGTCTTGATCTACTTTCTAGCCAATAGAGTGACTATGTTTTTCAGACTCCCTTACAGATGGTGTGGCAACGTGAATGATGTGGATCAATGTTTTGTGAATGAAAATTAAGTGCACCATTTACAGGCTCACACCCAAATTACCTCCCACACATGCCGCCCCCACCTCCCCACCCCCCCATACATCTTTCTTCTCCCTGCTGTCGGCAATGGCCATGGTTCCAAGGCAATCGTGGAAGCCATATGTGTAAGATGGCATGTTTGTGATCAGCCTTCTTCCCTGGATAACAGCATAGAGGAGGCTCCTCAGACATGTCAGGACTGTTTAAAAAGCAATTGGAAATTTAGATTATGTATGAGTCACTGTATGTTTTGGAGCCTATTGACGACCGCTGTTCATTCACCCAGTCTAAGGCAGTAATTGGAACCAAGCACATGCAGATTAGTTAAGAAGCACTTGAATGGTGAAGAAACAGAACCAGGAAATCTATGTCACCTGCTGATTTTGTGATGGTTTTGATTTCATTGGTTTTCCAGATCTAATGTGGTTTATTTGTGTATTTATTTAATATTTAGAGCATCATTTTCTCCAACTATCCCATGGGCTGGGTTTTATTTCCTTGAGACTTAGCTGGAAACAGAAAAGACGTTATCCCAAATTGTAGGCCCAGTGCAGGAAAATCATGCACGTGGGGGTGGGGGTTCCTCAGCCCGGCCTGCACCCTCTCCAATCCGGGACCCTTCGGGGGTTGTCTGACTGCCAGTTTAGACCTGATTAGGCCTACACCGGTAGTCAGACATCCCTCTTGCAATCCTGGTCCGCTGACTCCTAACCGCCACCCTCTTGCCTGCGTGATCACCCCTAACTACAAATACAGCATGTCTTCATCCATGTTGTAAAAGCTTCATTGTAAGACATTTTTACTATAGCAACAGATGCCCAGAAAGCAACATAGTAGTTCATCAGGCACAACCTCTTTACACCATAAGGTTGGACCAACAGTTACAAGACACAGTCTACAAATTAGTGATCAATCTACAGAAAGGAGAAAAAAAAACAAGTGCATGAATTCTATAAAGAAAGAAGTACCTAAACCTGCTGTTTCACAGACAGCCCCTTCAAGCAAAGGAGGGCTAAGAAAGCCTTATAATCAGTGTTTCAGATTCCACCTGAACTCATAGGTCTTTATTACTAGAATTCATTGGTGCTAATGAAGGCATTGGATATTTTAAGCCATTGGAAAAAAAGTTAGCCCAGGTTTCAGGAGAAGCAACTCTTGGGCATGTAGAAAAATTTCTTAGAAGAAAAATAGGTCTCGATCCGGCTTGTCAGGTAGAAATCATTTCTGGCCATCACTTGTTGGAGCGATATCAAACTCTAAGGGAAATTCCATGTACAACAGGTGATGCTGCAATGTAAGCTAATTGGTCTAGAGCAGATCTGATGGTCCATGGGCCAAACATGGATGGTCTTCTAGTCCTTCATTCTGGCCTTGCGGTTTCTCCTCTGAAAATTACTTAAAGAGAGTATCAAAAAGGAGGAGAGAATCAATGAATTCTAGTAATAAAGACCTATCAGTTCACGTGATAGGTCTTTTTCTCCTTTCTGTAGATTGATCACTAATTTGTACACTGTGTCTTGTAACTGTTGGTCCAACCTTATGTTGTAAAGAGGTTGTGTCTGATGAACTACTATGTTCACGTGTAATCTGAAACACTGATTCTAAGGCTTTCTTAGAGCTCCTTTGCTGAAAGGGGCTGTCTGTGAAACAGCAGGTTTAGGTACTTCTATACTTCTTTCTTTATAGAACTTATGCACTTGCTTTTTTTCTCCTTTCTGTAGATTGATCACTAATTTGTAGATTGTGTCTTGTAACTGTTGGTCCAACCTTAATGTGTAGATTCTGCTCTCTGAGATGGTATCAGTATGGCAGGAGAGAAGTATGCTTTTTAAATGAAGATTCAAAGCCAGACTTGTTAAACTGTACAGACTGTACCCCTCCGACAAAGATCAGAACTATTAGCCACTTTTGTGTGTTGCCATCATATTTTAAATTTGCATTGTTTTGTTGTTGTTGTTATTTACTACTAAAAGAGATAAATTATCATTATTCTATGTAAAGAGACTGTCTCCTGTATGGTTTATGGTCTGTACCATGAGCCTTCAATGTAATAAAGACTTTATTAACTAAAAATACATATATTCAAATAACCAACATATAAATACATCAATCAAAGAGACACAATCCTATTCCATGAGTTATTCTTTAGGAGTCATTTTGCATTTGCTTTATTTTTAATGTTAGAAATCAGTCTCAGTAGCTTAATTCCATGATTTTAAGATTATCCATGAATAATTTGCTCAATTAATACATTTAAAATGAAAGAATACCCCATATCTAAAGGTATTCACTTGACGTTAACTTCACTATTTACTGAGACAATTTAGATACAATGATCTTTGAGAAATTATATACACATTGTCCAACTTATGTATATAAGCATTTGAAATATAAATCACTAAATAAGAAACAGGATGCTGCAGCTGCTGCTGCTGATGATAATGATGATGATGACAATGATGATAAGATGGCAGCTTAATGGGAGATCTCTAACTGATAGCTGTGGCCTCATCCAGTTTTCTAAGACACAGAATTAACTGTAAGAAAGAGCATTACTTACATGTCCTACAACCTTATGATTCATCACTCTCAGCATCCGGGCTA